GGACCACTGTAGCCGGTATCTATGAAAAAAGAATTTACAACAGATTTTTCCATGTATTTCAATATGTTTCAGAATATAAAATTTTGAGGAAATTGTTTTCACAGAAATACAATTTGTATTTATTCAAGCCTGTGTACCAACACTACTGATTGATATTTTCAATTACATCTATGGAGATTAAGGTTTGTACACATTTGAACCCATGGCTATACTGTGGTGCGAGCTACTTATAAGTAGTATATGACGTGAGTGTCAACATAATGTCTGGTGGCAGCAGAAGATGGGGGAAGATCAACAAACGCATTAAACGCGTGAATAGTGACAATGGATTGTTGATGTTTTGCAACAGGAACAGTCCAGTTCGATATGATGATGGACTGATATTTTGCAAATTAACGATTTACGATATGGATTTCCAATTTCACTGAGTAACTCTGTAATTTTTCGTTAAATACAATTTGGTTGCCCTCACCTGTGTTCTCGTTCACTACAATACCATCTATTTGTCTATAATAAGTGTTTTTGAATACGAAATGAACATTCGTCGTACATCTTAGGAGCGATTCATTACGGGCGATCATCAGGCAAGCCAAAGTCGATTTGTTTTTTCTTAATTTGCTCACATATGAATTCAATAGTCTCGAGGAGTGGTATGTTAGTGAACATAAAGAAACCACATCCAGTGAGATCATATATAAAATTCTTGCTAACATTCATATTTTCCACTTTGGAAGTGAACTCAAAAATGTCTTTTACATTTCTTCGTACAACTGATTGATGCAAAGGCTCTAAAATCCGCACTAACTAACCACTTCGCAACTTTGTAGTAAGGAGAATGGAACATATCTAGGACCTGGCGCAGAGGAATACCCGATTTGTGGACACGATTTGGAAAACCACATAGTCATGGTGTATACGATCCAGTCGATTCAATTGAGTGGTGAATTTCAGACGGAATTACTCCGTTTTTCTTTAGTTCTTTAAGCGAACTCGTCAGTTGTTTTTCCACTTTTTTATTGATGTCTTTATGATTTTGGTGACTTTTTGAAATTTCCTAGGATCTACTAGCATTCCTTCCATTTTAACTATCTATAATCATTTTTATTGATGAGAACTATACCTCCACTCTTGTCTGGTTTGCTCAAGATTAAAGTATCATCTTTCTTGAGTTTTCTTAAAGCCTCACAGTGTATGTAATGCAAATATGATTTCTCTGTTTCCCCCGTTCCACTACACTGTCCCATTTTAGAACATTATTAAAGTGTCATCTAGATTTCGGTTTCAAAAAGTAATCTACGATATATGCTGATATCGAATTTGAGAAATGTCAAATTTATTTATCTTTTGACTAACCTACTAAGATTAGTGTTTTTCTTACACATTTTTGAAATCATCAATCAATCATTGTTAGAGACCATTAGCATTAGAAACCTGAAAGCAATGAAAGACAGGCGTTTCATCCTGGATATGGGACTACTCATCAGTGGCAGTGTGCATCCACGACTCCTGCACCCCGCAGGATCCGAACCCTAGACCTTCGGTATTGTGCGCGAACGCCTAACGATTGTACCACTGGGCCGTTGGCATCCAAAGAGGTTAATGTCTAACTCTGATTGATAGGATGCCATACCAGGACGAAACGGCCGTGTTTCAGTGCTTCCAGGTTCCTAATGGTGACAGTCTAACAATGATTGATTGATGACTACTGACTGAAGTAATAAAAGCAAGGCAGGTGTTGAGGGGGGGGGAAGGTTAGGTTGTCAGGAATATTTATTGAAAAATATTTAACAGTACAGTGTAAATTTATTCTATTTCAAAATTAATTTTGATTATGAAACTATTAAAGTTGAATGTTAAAACATGGTTTGATCTGGTTATCTACAAACATATTGATTAGGGAAGTCAGTAGTTACAGTTTACAGACAAGAATATATGACTTGGTTATGTAACAATTATTTACTATACTACTTATTATATAATGATAATAATGATAATAATTTAAAATCAAGTTCTCTGCCTTGAAATGCAAAATGATACTTCAAGATTGGCTTGCGAAGGCACCTGAACTAGTGACAGGGAGTGCAGTAGTTGAGTGTATTGATGGTTTCACCTATCTAGGAAGTTTCATCAGTGCTGATGGACTGGTGTGTGACGAAATCTCAGCACGGATAAAGAAGGCTCGGTTGGCTTTTGCCAACCGACGTCAATCATGGCGTAGGAGAGATATACGTCTGCTAACCAAAGGACGACTGTACTATGTAACAGTTCGCTCCGTCCTACTTTATGGACGCGAAGCATGTCCGGTAAGAGTAGAGGATATTCGTAGGTTGCTCGTTTTCGATCATAGATGTCTTTAAAGCATTGCTCGTGTAGCCTAAGACAACAGAGTAAGCAACACCATTATTAGGAATCGGGTGCTAGGTAAGAATGGCAGATCAATAGATGAAGTAATGAATCTTCATCAGTTGAGGTGGTTGAAACATGTATTACGTATTCCTAACCACCGAGTGCCTCGTCGAGCGATGTTTTGTGGTGCAGGTGTAGGTTAGAAGAAAGCTAGGGTCGGCCAGACCAAAACATGGCAGAAATCCATGAAGTTACTGACAAGTGGACTGAGTCATGTTGGTAAATGTAGGCTATCTGGTTGGTGTTCGCTAGTAATCGATGGTTAGATTCCTTGAACGAAAAGTCTCAAATCGTTTGCAATGGCGCAGGTGCATCGATTCTTTGTGTTTTGTCTATTTGTGATTTTCGGAATTACTTATCACCTTTGTCTTTATCTTTCTAAACTTATCTCACTGAATTAGACTTCTTGAATAATATCTTCGTACCCTAATCTTTTCCAATAACAGTAATACTTCTACTATCTCCATCATCATGGGACTTGAAGTGACAGTTGCGTCTTCTTATGCTAATGTGGTATGACAACCTGAACTAATGTACTTACGTACAAAGTTTTACGTTGTAAATGACTGACTGACTGATATAAATGATTGTCCAGTTAAGGAGTATTTGAGCGAAGCTGAACTCTTAACAATGAAATTATTGTATTCAGTTCTTTAGTTTTCATCGAAATTATCAATTGATCAACGTTAGACCGATCTTAGAGACCTGAAAATACTGAACGACCGTTTTGTCCTAGTATAGGACTCATTAATATCAGTGTGCGTACACGACCCATACATGCGGAAACCTCTTGTTCATTTGATTGAATAAATCTCTGTTATATGCCTTAACACCTCCCAGTTTATTGTTAGTCAATTGTTATTTTCGTCACTAGGTATGCTTGAAGCTAGTACGAGTTCACGTTAGTCGATAAACACGAACGAGACAAGTACCAGCGTCCAGATATGCTACCTTGAATCCCAAGCTCTAAACAGAAGGCTTAGTAAGCGTAGAAAGTATATTCTACAAACACCCAGCAATCTCACAATACAATCAAGCACACAACTCTCGTTTATTTATACAACATGGAAACGTTGTTTGGGAAAGTCACAAAAATCGCACACTAAAATACACAGCAACCAATCACAGCCATGGATTTTCCTGATGGGACATGAAATCTCAAGGTCAACTGATCAGCCGATGCTCGCAAACGTGAAATCAAAAATAAGGTATTTATCAAGCGAGTTTTGGGGATCTAACATCCCCAACATCAATAATTTCCCCTTTTTGTTAAGCTTTTGTATTACTAATGTCAAAATGATGCCTACATTAGGATATGTTGTTGGTGTTCTAGTCAGGTAGTTAACTGATATTCAATCAACATAGAACTTCTCACTTAAGTACATCAGTTCAATTTGCCATACCACATTAGCACAGAGATGCCACTGTCAGTTCAAATCCCATAATGGTGGAGATATGAGAAGTATTAGTAGTAATGGAGAAGATTATTGTTCGAAGATATGATTCAAGAAGTATAATTCAGTGAAATAACTTTACAAGTAGAAAGATAGAGGAATTCTGAGCGCTAGAATTTGAAAGAACACAAAGAGTGGATGCATCTGAGCCATTGCAAACGATTCTGACCCATATCGTTCGAGGTCTCTAACCATCGGTGACTTTCTTCTTGCGGACCTGACTAAGTTGATATTATTACATAAATTTCAAGTCAATGGTAGATTTGGATTGCAACAGAGATGTTACACTTATTAATTTTATTTATGGGAAAATACTTGAATAAAATTTAACTCAATCAGATTGATACAAGAACAGATCTTGATCGCTGATCTTTTTATCATTGATACTGTGGTGCGTGCTACTTATAAGTAGTATATGACGCGAGTGAAAACGTAATGTCTAGATGCAGAAGATGGGGGAAGATCAAGCAAGAAAGGAAGAAGAGTGGGAACACAATGGAATTTGTATGAAACGCATCAATATAAGTGAAATGTCAGACAATGGATTGATGATCGATTGAAGATTTGCAAATTGACCGTTTACGATATGGTTTTCCTATTTTACTGAGTAACTCTGTAATTTGCTATAAATACAATTTGGTTTCCCTCACCTGTGTTCTCCTTCACGTAACTAATCCCATAATAACCGGTTCAATCATATGACCTCCCAATCTGTTTTACAAATATCCAGCATATTAATAATCTGTGTTTTTGAAGATTATTGAGTTTCAGTGAAATTATGAACCTACGAATGTTAGAACACCATTAGAAACCTGGAAGCACTGGACGGTCGTTTCATTCTAGTATGAGACTCATCAATGGCAGTGCATATCCGCCACCCCTACACACATGAAGATCGAACCATGAACCTTCGGTCTATAACTGTCTCAGATATGACTTGACCACACTTGCATAGTGATGCCAATTATGATATATTCAACAACCTCGCCCCCTCCCCAAAATAATACTATGAACAATGGAGATAAGTATCCAATACAACGGTACAGTTTCACATTTCTCAATAAGTAAAAACTCATGGTATACTTTACATTAAAATGTAGAAAAAAACACCATGAAACAATTCAATTTGATGCGACTTACCAGACGTAGTAGATTTTAATCCTGATCTTTCAAAACTAGATGCTTTAAATTGGCTAATATTTGATTTAGTTGAATAACTGACACCAATGCCAACTGGAGCGCTTCTATGCTCAGAAGATGATGAATTCTGTTGTTGATGTTGTGATTCATCTGTCGTAGAATCACATACAACTTCATGAGAACTATTCAACGGTCTTTGTAGTTTACTATTCAACAGTAATGAGGGTACAGTAGTGGTACTACTAGTAGTAATGGTAGTAGTAGTAGGTGAGGTTGCTGTTACTGCTGTTTTCGAGGATGCTGCTACTGATGTTGTTGTTGTTGTCGTCAATAATGGTGATGTCGGAGTAGTCAGCGATCTCTGTTGTAATTTATGAGTTCTTGTTGTCGGTAAATTACTATTATTACTATTACTACACGAATCACTAGTATCACTGCTTATCACCGGATGATTGTTACTGTTTTGATAATCATAAGATTTTTTATTCGATTGATTGGATTTTTGTGGTTTTACTTTTAAATTCACTGAATTATTATTTGCTCGTGGAATAGATTGACGAATAGTCGATTGTTGTTGCTGGTGCAGTTGTGGTTGTGGAGGTTGTGTGGGTTGTGGTGATAAGGGTTTTATACCAGAAGAAATGGAGTTTGCTGAAGATGTCAATGAACTACTCGACGATGTAGGAAAACGTAGTGATGCAACACTAAAACAAACAACAAATTAGATGAATTCATTTTTTTAAAAATATTATTATTTGACTGTGTGTTTTTCTGGTCTTGTGTTCGTTTATTTCTTGATTTGAGTAAATATTCCAGAAAAAAATTGTTAAAATCAAAGATTTTTATAGTTAATTTTGTTACAAAAATAGAATAATACTCCAATTGTAATTCGATAAAAGTGTAATCAACTATTGGGATTGACTGACTGATTTTCTGTTAACTGTAATTAAATTGAGACAGTTTGTTAAAAGTTGGGACTTGTGGGCGTGTCATCATCATAACCAACAAAAAAAAATCAAACCGAGTATTTGGATCGATACGTGAAAACTAATCACTGATTGGTCAATTCATTGTCATCATTTTGATTGGTTGAAATTTTGATGTTGTTGTGGCCTTGAAATAAACATTTTTTTCTAGTCTCTACTCTGAGATTTATTTTTATTTTAAAGATAAAAGATTATTTAGTTTGGGAAAATTGGGAATTTTTTTTCTCTGACATTTTTTAATTAAATAAATAGTTAAATAGATTACAAGAAGGTGAGAAAAAGTGTGGAATGACTGTTACTGTTGTTATATTTCGAGATTTATACTATGATTTGGAATAATGCAATTTTACCTAATTGCTGTTTCCATAAATAATCATATTAAATTCTAGTGATTGTGATGGTGTTTCGTTCTCTGAGCTGGGTTGTTTTGGTTGTGGAGCTTTCATTGTTCTTCTGCTGAACACCGACATCATCAGCACAAACTTCAGATAGAAGAAGTGAAGCATTCGAATTTCTCCAAGTTTGACCTGTAGCTTGTTCTTCTATCTGAAGTTTGTGCTGATGATGTCGGTGTTCAGAAGAAGAACAATGAAAGCTCCACAACCAAAACAGCATCCAGCTCAGAGAACGAAACACCACCACAATCATCCACCTGAGCTACAAGTTTTCTCTACCATCTTAAATTCTAGTGAGCTAGGTGGTCATCTATCCTTAGTTTTCAAGATAATAGTATAGTTTTTTTTCAATTAGAGTTATGAAGATCATTGTGTTTTGGGCACTGAAATCATCACTAGTGACTAATTTCGTGAAGAAAATTCTCGTAGTTCTAGTGAGATGGCATGGTCAGTAGAGTTCAGTCCTGTCAGGTGTAGGCAGTAACTATCGAAGACAAATGAGTGAAGTCGCGCGAAATCCCTAGATTGATCAAAGTTAGACAATAACACCTTTGGATGCCGCCGGCTCAGCGATCCAGAGGTTAGGCGTTCGCTCGCAAGACCAAAGGTCCTGTCTTCGGATCCTGCAGGTAGCAGGAACTGCGGATGCACACTGCCACTGATGAGTCCCATACTAGGACGAAACAGCCGTCCAGCGCTTGCGCGTTTCTAATAGTGATTTAACAATTATTGATTCATAACTTCTATGTGTAACAAAAGTATATAATTCTGAAGAATTATTCACATTTAATATAGTAGATGACGAAATTTGTAAAGCTATGACAGATAGCCAGTTTAATTTCCTTCAAACCCCCAACCTTTAGTCCTAGTGTCAAACACGAAAACTTTTAATTTTAGCACTATTCATAAATATCACTTGATGTCCGACATTTCGGAAAGTTGCCTCTCCTTTCAAGGTCATCCTAAAGATTATTGACACTTTTAAATGAAACATTTTTGAAACCATGAATCGATCAATTCTAGAACACAATTAGACAACCCTGGAAGCACTGAAAGACGACCGTTTTGTCCTGATATAGGACTCATCAATAGCAGTGCGCATCCACGACTCCTGCACCCCGCAGGATTCGAACCTAGGGCCTTCGGTATTGTAGGCGAATGCCTAACCATCGGAAGATTGTTAAGTTACACATTTTTCGAAACCGTGGATGTGCACTGCTAATGAGTAGTCCCAAACCAAGATGAAATGGCCGTCCAGTGCTTCCAGGTTTGTCTAATTGTGTTGGTCTAACATTGATCGATTCATGGTTTCAAAAGATGTGTAACTTAACAATCTTCACAACCCTGTAATGCAATTAATTACCTGTGCTCACTAGTGATGACTAGCTTCGTGAGGAATCTTCTCCGAGTTCTGGTGGTGGGAAAACGTGACCGGTGAAGTTCAACATGTTTGGGTGTAGACAGTAACTACTACCGAAGACTGTGCATGAGGTTGCGCAACTCCGTGAATTGATCAAGTTAGACATTAACAACGCCGTTAGATACCGGCTCAGTGGTCCGATGGTTAGGCATTCGCGCACAATACCGAAGATCCTGTGTTCGAATCCTGCGCGAGGTGCAGGAGTCATGGATGCGCACTGCCACTACTGAGGAGTCCCATACCAGGACGAAACGGCCATCTAAACAATGCTTCCAGGTTTGTCTAATTGTGTTGGTCTAACATTGATCGATTCATGGCTTCTTTCAAAAATGTGTAACTTAACAATCTTCACAACAACCCCATAATGCAACTTATCAATTAAGCCAACTATTCATCATGCACATTATCACCTGGATCTTGTAAACTATTAAGGAAAACTTGAAAAATCAACATTCTCAATCCTGATTGGCTATTTACATATTCCATTTATAATTCTGTATTGTTATTTTTTCTCAAGAGATTTTTTTGAAGAAAAAAAAGTCAACAGAATTGCACTTTTTTTTTGAATTTCAGTGTAAGAAATTTCTCATAATTTTTGTTACTTTTTGGCTTACAATATTCAAACTTTTATTTATTTATTCTCATGAGAATTGTGATTTCATTAATTTTTTTTGAATAAAAGTGAGAATTTTTGAATTTAAGAAAATTTACAGAAAAAAAAACTAGTTAAGAAATTACAATTATTATTTTAAAATATTATTTATTAATTTGATTTAATAAAATAAAAATGAGAAATTGTTCACAAATAAGAAAAAAAAAGGTAAAATATGATTTTTTTCTCTTTAAATGAGGACAAAAATTAAATAATTTTTTTTAAGTTGGTAAAATATCATAAGTACAATTATAGTTGATATAAGTGTTTTAGGATTACTAGTGAATTTTTTCTGTGATAACTCTATCTGGAGCTTTTCTGGGATTTATTGACGGTTTTAAGCCTGAATAAAGAGCAGGAGGTTTGGACATGGGTTTGGCGAACCTATCGTGTAGATTCTCTGATCGGTGGAGTATGTACGATTAGGGGTAATATGTATAAGTAAGTAAGTGCATAAGTAAGTAAGTAAGTAAGTAAGTAAGTAAGTAAGTAAGTGCATAAGTTAGTAATTGGCAGATCAATAGATGAAATAGTGAAACTTCATCAGTTGAGGTGGTTGGAACATATGTTACGTATGCCTAACCACCGAATGCCTCAACGAGCTATGTTTTGTGATGTAGGAGTAGGTTGGAAGAAAGTTAGGGGCTGCCAAACTAAAACATGGCAGGAATCCATGAAGTCACTGACAAGTGGACTGAGTCATGTTGGTAGATGTAGGCTATCTGGTTAGGGTCCTCGAGACGTAAGTCTCCGATGGTTAGAGACCTTGAACAACATGGCTCAAAATCGTTTGCAATGACTCAGGTGCATCCGCTCTACATGTTCTCTCTAATTCTAAGCTTCTGCATTCCTCATAATCTCTGTCTTTCTTCTGTTAAATTTTTATTACTGAATTATACTTCTCGAATCATATCTTCGCTCCCTAATCTTCTCCATTACTGCTAATACTTCTATTATTGCTATCACTCTTGGATTTGAACTGACAGTTGCGTCTCTGTGCTGATGTGGTATGACAACCTGAACTTATATACGTAAGTACGCAGTTTTGCGTTGTATCTGTCTGTCTGTCATTAATATATCTCGATCTCATTTAGAATGTTTTTAAGAAGCCTAAGGAGAGGTAGAAACTAGGAAGCACCTCATTAACAAACAAAACGCAAATGTAAAGGGAAGCATCGGGGAGCTTTTGAGATGGTGGAGAGACTTTTTAGCTCAGGTGGGTAACTGTGGTGGTGTTTCGTTCTCTGAGCTGAATGTTATTTTGGTTGTGGAGCTTTTATTGTTCTTCTAAACAACATCATACATACTTGATTTCGCTTCTGTTGACGCTTTCGGTTGATGTTTTTGGATGAAGTCGTGTGGATATCCGTTCATTTGGAAGACAGTCACAAGATGTTTTTCCTAGTTTTCAGTGCTTCATATGTGCTACAGAGTGTCTTCGCTCTCTTGAACAAAGTTTGTATGCATTTGATTTTGTGAGTTCTTAGGTTGTTGCTACCACTGTTGAGAATTACGTCTGCGTGGGTTAGTTTCCGAAATAATTGAGTTTTAGTTAGTTTTGGTGATTAGTACATCTAGGAATGATAGACTGTTGTTTGATTCCTTTTCCATCGAAAATGCTGCTGGTCTATCATACGTACGTACATCAGTTCAAGTCGCCATACCACATTAGCAGGGAGACACAATTATCAATTTGAATGCCATGGTAATAGGTGCGGTAGAAGTATGAGCAATAATCGGGAAGATAAAGGTTCAAAGATATATTTCAAGAAGTATCATTCCGTGAAATAAATTCAATGAGAGAAGGATAGAGATGATGAGGAATTTAAGAGATCATAGTTTCACAGAATTTGTTACGTACGTACATTGATTACAGTTCCAATGACCCATAATCATAGAGAGATAAAAATGTCAGGTGAAATCCTTCATTAGTAGTAGTGGTAGTAATAGTATCAGTGGTAATTGAAAAGATTTGAGGATCAAAAATATGATTCAAGCAAATAGAAACCAGTGAAAGAAATTTTAAAGAGTGAAAAATTGGCTAAAAGAAATTCTGAAGTTTAGAATTTGAGTTTGGACAAAAGAATGAATGCACCTAAACCATCACAAACAATTTTCAACCCATGTGTTATTTCAAATCACCAATCACTGATGAGGATTATTATCAACCAGGTAGACTATATCTATTCACACGGATCTATTCAATTATCAATGTCTTCATTGACTGAATGCCATATTTTGATTTGACTGA